GCTTCCATAGCTCAGCTATTGTAAATAGTGCTGCTACGAACATCAGGGCGCATGTGTCTTTTCAAATTACAACACACAACCAGGAGTGGAACTGCTGTAACACAGTAGTTCTATTTTCAGTTTCTTTGAGAAATCACCATACTATTTTCCATAGTGGCTGCACCAATTTACCATCCCACCAATAATGCAGCAAGGGTTTCCTTTTCCCCACACCCTCACCAATTCTCATCATCTCACTCTTTGATGATGGCCATTCCAAAAGGTATGAGGTGATCTCTTATTGAAAGTTTTGATTTGCATCTCTCTGATATCCACCCCGCTGAGCATCTTCCCGCATGCCCAAAGGTCACCTGTGTGTTTTCTTTGGGAAAACGTCTATTCAGGTCTTCAGCCCACTTTTTGATTGAGTTGTTTGTTTTCTGATATTGGGCTTTATAAACTGTTTATATATTTTGGATTATACAATTCTTCATTAACCACCTCCATGCCCTCTTCCTGGAGATTGGAAGCGGGGAAAGAAGCAGAACTTGCTGAGTAAGGCTTCTACCTGATAGGCTTATCAACACAAGTGTATCCTTCCTCAGCTGATTCTAATCATGGTTAACACATCCATTCACTAGCCATGTCCCTGGCACTGTTCTAGGAGCTCTGCGCATGTGAGCAAATTTAATCTCCACCATAACCCTCTGTTCTTATCACCCCCCATGCACAAGGGGAAACTGAGCCATAAAGAAGAGCCCAGCTAGGCAGAGGACAGCCAGAATGCAAGCTCAGGGAGTGAAAGCTCAGGGAGCCTGACTCTGGAAGCCCGGTTTTCCTAAACCTCCAGGCCATCCTACCTCTCAAACGGAAGGGAAAGGCTGACAGTGGTGGTGTAGGCCCTGGAGAGAGAAAGGGCCTACGACATCGCATAGGAGACCATCAACAAAGAAATAAATAAAAGTATAATATCATGGACAAGGGCTATGAAGAGCTTCTGAAATGCCATAAATGTTCAACTATCTTGATCTGGGCCATGGTTCCACAAGTGTACACACATGTTAAAGTGCATGAAGCTGAATGTTGAACATAAGATTTTAAATGGGGAATTCCCTGGTGGTCCAGTGGTTAGGACTCCACACTTCCAATGAAGGGGGCCTGGGTTCAATCCCTGGTCAGAGAACTAGACCCCACATGCTGCAACTAAAAGTTCACGTGCCCTGCAACTCAAGATCCTACATGCTACAACTAAGATCTGGTATAGCCAAATAAACAAAAATTTTTTTTAACGATTTTAAATGTAACAGAAAGTGGTAAGGAATGGCAAATGGTAGGAGCCACTTCTCACTGTGAGAGTGGGAGACCAGAGATAAGTAAGGACAGAAAGCTAGAAAGATCCAGCTGGCAATGGATCAGAATCAGAGACAACTGTAGGAACTCAACTGAACACAGATACAGATAGAAATACTTATAGACGTGCCCACATGTAGGTTCCCACACACGTATGTGTTTCTTCACTCTGCCAGCTGAAGAGACCTAGAAGCAAAGACACCTCAGTAGCAATGAGCACAACCAGCACCCAGATCTTGGTTTCTAAAGCCCTTCTCCAATAACAAACAGGGCCTTAGGGAAACGGCTAATTCTAGGCAGAAAATACATACAAGATGAGCCTATGTGGTGGTGGTAATTCAGTCGCTAAGTCGTGTGTGACTCTTTGAGACCCCATGGTCCACCAGGCTCCTCTGTCCATGGGATTTCCCAGTCAAGGATACTGGAGTGGGTGGCCAATTCCTTCTCCGAGGGATCTTCCCAACCCAGGGATTGAACCTGCGGCTCCCGCGTCTCCTGTACTGTGGGCAGCGTCCTACTGTACGCTGAGCCACTAAGGAAGACCCAAACAAGCCTGAAGCATCCTAGAAATGCCGAGAGCACTTCTGCAGTGGCAGAAAGTAAAACAGCATTCAACCAATTAACTGATCAACCAACAATGATGTCAAAGGGACCCAGGAGCCAACTCGAAGTGCTCCCAGTGGCCAAAGCTGGAACAATCTGAGCAACAAGATAAGTAAGTAGCACTGAACTATAACCCAGTGTATGAAACAGTTCAGTCCCTGCTGATATAAATAAATGGCTGAACAAATGCATGAGGAAAACAAGACAAATCTCCCATACAGAAGAACACAAAATACTTTATGTAGATATTCCGGCCTTCGGGAGATGGGGCGTGTCTCCCCACTCTTAAATGTGGGCTGGGCACTGTGACTTCCTTCCAAAAAGGAAGGGGAAAATCCTGACAAACACCCCCTTGGCCAAGTGACCGAGGTCAACATCACCAGTGATGAATTATATTCACAATACATACCCTTGATATAATGGGATGAAAACAGCACTTTAAAGCCTTCCTCTCAGAAACACATAATTCCAGTCTACTCCAGTCCAACCACGAGAAAAAATATTATCCCCAGATGAGGATCATCCTACAAAATACCGCCAAACTAGCAAAGCCATCGAAAACAAGGAAGATCTAACAAACTGTCACAGCCAAGAGATTCTAAGGAGACACATTAGTTAACTGTCATGTGGGATCCTGGGAGGGGTCTTGGAACAGAAAAGGGATCTCAGTGGAAAAAACTAAGGAAATTTGAATGAAGCAATTCATTGCTTAGTAGGGAAAAACTAAGCAAATCTGAAAGAAGCACACCAATTCGTTAATTATGACATATGGACCAGACCAATATATGGTGTTAATAACAGAGGGGAAGCAGTGCGTGTAACTATGTGTGTGAGAATGGGGGCAGGAGGTGATATGGGAACACTGCTTATCCAGAAACCTAAAACCTGCTCTAAAATGAGGTTTATTTTGAAAACATATCAGAAAACGATGGAATGGCTCCGTGGACTGGGTGGCCACCGAAGGCCTCCCCAAGGAGACAATGTCTGAGATGGCTCTGAGATGAGAACTAGGCAGCAGGACCCAGGGGGGCACGCTCCCAGCAAAGGGCCCCCAGGAGAAGACGGAGAGGGGAAGAGCAGGGAGCTCCAGTGAGGTCAGGTGCAGAGTCCTGAGGGGCTCAGGCCAGGCAGGTCAGTCCCAGTGACTTCAGACTGGAGCCTGAGGGCACTGGAAGGGCAGTGGAGGGACTCAGCAAGAGCAGACAGATCTGATGGGACGTGTTTTTCCAAGATCACCCTGGCTGCTGTCAGGAGAAGATGGGGCCGGGCAGATTAAGAAAGAAGGACGGTGATGATCCCAGAATGGGCACACCTCGGGCAGCCCAGACATAGGATGAAGGGCCAGGAATATCCAGGGGTCTGCAAGAAGATGAGAATTGAGGTCTCCACACACACAGGGATGGGCCTGAACAGGCTGATAGTCCCCAATTTGGACCCTTCTGGAGAACGACTGGGTTCCAGGCCCTTCTGGGCCCTGAGTGCTAGGGAAGGAAGCACCTCCTTGGAGTCATGCCTCGATTTGGTCTGATCCCATCCTACACTTACGACCTGGGAGACATTACCACTCGGAGCCTCAGTTTCCTCATCTGTAAAATGGGAACACCACCTCCCACATCTTCCCAGGGTAAGAAAAGACTCCTGGAACCTCCAAGCACAGCCTCCATAAACGCCCCCAGCAAGTGTTGTCTTTACAAGAGAAGTCCAAGGTGGAAGGACTCTTGGAATCTAACCCAACAACCCATTTTACAGATAAGAAAGCTGAGCAGCAGAGCCAGAAAAGTGTCTAAGTGATCCACGGGGCAAGGACGAAGAGCCCGGCCTCCAGCTCCCATTCTCTTGAGTTTCTTCTCCACAGTCAGTTCTGATGACAACAGGGGAGCAGCAACCTGCTTCCCCATCAGCAGTTGTCTCCAGACACCTTTTGTTCAGATTCCCCTGCAGCTTTGCGGCTGGTCTGGCCTGAGCTGGGTGGGGGCTGTGGTGAAGGGCAGCAGGCCTCAGACTGGGCCTTGTCTCCCTCCCAACATCCTCTTCCCGCTCCCAGGCACTGCCCATCCACCCGGGCAGCCTGGCCCGCCCACCTAAGGCCACCCCTCCTCTTTGAACCAGGCCTAGGCCAGACCCAACAACAGCCACCACTAGCTGACCCTCATCATTGCCCAGAATGACAGGCTGTCTTATAAAAATCCTCAAAAAGCTCTGTTGTCTCAAACGCCTTTATGGAACCACATTTTGTGAAGCTCTTGAGCTGGAAAGGAGTCTTTCTGGCCGAGTCTGTACTCATCCTCTGTCTAGCCCTTCCCGCCGCCCCCAGCACAGGTACCCAGTGATGTGTCGAACGTGTAACAACATCATGATACAACCACTTAGTTTGGAGACGAGCATTTTCATCAACCTTCTAAAAGCACCCCAAAGGCAATGTGGGTAACTGCTTCCTTACTGGGAAACCTCGTAAAATCTCACAGAGACCAAACAAAAAGTTATCAATACCACAATTAGAAGATCTTTGAGGTGCTCTACCACAGAACTGAACAGAAGCACACACCCGTGTTTTCTCTGACTTGCAAAATTATAACTCTGGCCCCAGCATTCCAGGAGGTCCTAACATTTTCCTTTACTCACTAACCAAGACCACAGTTTTCCAGGAAGTGGATCACCTTCGTTCCACCTTCACGATTCCAAAGAGACCTTTTATTAAAATCGGAAACCAAGAAGCAGCTGGAGATGCCCGTTGCTTCTAGAACATGCTTTATTTAAATTTATTCCCAAAAGTCACCCTGCAGAGAGCTAGGCAGCCATCCTCAGTCATGACACACACCGCGTAAAACTGACTGTCGGGACAATTCCCAACAGGTCAGAACACCTAACCAGACATGCAAGGGAAAGAAAATCAGGAGGAGATTTCTCTATAAATGAGGTTCATCCATCAAAGGCGCCAACCTCTCAAAATGGGAGGAGTGTTGCAACCTCGGCTCGTAAGCCACACTTGACTGCACTACAACAACAAGAAAAAGGAATTCCAATTTCCTCCTCTGCTCTGGAATAGATAATACAAGGTTTTTACTTACCTTTGGAGCGGGTAGAAATATCCATGCCCTCTACCACCTCCTGTTCTGTTTTTATTTCCTCTTCAGCCAAGCTGAAACAGAGCAAATCATGTTCACGTTTTAGGCAGACTGAGAACTTGCCCCACGGGGGCATTTATTCAGAAGTTCTAACAACAAAGCCACCTTTTTAAGACAATCCCCCCATCCTTACATGAGGCAGGGGGAAAGAAACCCACATCTGATTTCAAACCAAGTGTTAAGATTCCTATAGGGGTGTTTTTAAATACTAGTTTGTTCTTGAAGTCAAATGACTATTCCAGTTGTCATGCTATTGGGGGATGAAAAAGGCTTTTTTTAAATGAGACACACAGTTACAATCTACCAGCCCTAGACCAATGAAAACCCAGCCTCCAAGTAAGTAAGTTTCTTGTTAACACTGGGTTCAGGCTGGAGATGGTTTTCAGGGTACCTGGAGTTCTGATCTCTTGAGTTCTGCAAGGCAAAGAATATCTTTGCAGACCTCCCTGCTAAATCTTAAAATTCCCTGATGAGGCAGGAATGTGAAAATATATACATTAAATCACAAAGTAAAAAAATAAGCCTAGGCTAGAAGCAGAAGGCTTGGCTTCAAAACATTCAAACCACCAGCATTTAGCCCAGGAATTAAGATTGGGGTCTCCACACTCCCAGCCCCTGGGATGTTTCTTCTCTACAGCAGGCATGGCTTAGAGAAAGCATTCAGCACTCTTCTGAGCTGTGACTAATTATCTCCCCCCCACCCCCCACCAAAGTGGAATGAGGAAGGATTATTTAAAAGACAAGCTGAGAGTCAGGGGTTGGGACAAGAAGTAGGGAAAACTAGGCCCCTTCACCAGAATCTTCTCTCCCTCTCTTGGCCGGAATTCTCCCCAGCTGAACAAAGTGCAGGTCATTTCCATTCTTCCCATGGACACACATACACCTCTCAGGCCAAGCCAGGAAAGATCTGCTTTTAAAAGTGCCAACTATTTGAGGTGCTGGAACTTTCCAACCATTCAGCTGACAACGAAGTGATAAGAATCTGAGCAATTATTCTAGATGCATTTCCATCAGACTGTGGCTCAACAAGAAGAAATGAGTGCATCTCCAACTGAGATGGCTGAAAGTTTCTGGAAGACTCAAGAGCCAGGACAGGAGGGAGGCTGGGTAAGGAAGGAAGAATCAGAATGTCCCGCCTGTGTTTCGTGGTCTGGGACAGTGATGAGACAGAAGAGAAGTCCCAAGTGGCTTGGAACCTCAGGGTCAGATGGAGATGCATTTAGGAGAGTTCTGTTTGATGAGACTAGATAGAAAAAGGAAGAGATGAGAGCTAAGGATTAAGTTAGAAGAACCTGGAGGCCTCCAACTTCACTGGTCTCAGCAAAGAGAAGAATGAGAAAGGTAGTTTCCTTTTAAACCAGAATATTAACACATTTAGGCCTCTGATATCAAACCCCATTGACAATTTCATTCACACTGCATCTGTAGGGAAAGCTTGGGACACAAACCACCAAAGGAACAACGGACATGTTGTCACAAGCAGTTTTCGTCAGAAGCCAGCGCCTCTGAAATTTAAACACGTCGCTAACATGCAATAATAGAACAGTGATTTGTGGCAGGTGATTTTAGCACGGGTACTTTTTCTTCCAACTTAAGAGGCAAACATTCTCAACTTCGAAACCCACCCCCTGCATACAACATACCCAGACGGTCAAATGGATGCTGCTGATGGTTTCTTGCTTGGGGTGACTGGAAATAAATTTTAACAGAAAGCCCCAGGCGATCCCTTCAGAGAAGGGGAAATGGTCAGCTTCAAAAGCACAAAGAGCAACCTTGATCTTTCTAGCAACTAGAATTCTGTTCCCCTCTCTAGCATGAAGTATGTGAAATACTAAACTTCTTGAAACTGATCCCATATTTTGAGTGATGGAGGAAACGCTAATCTGGTATCCAACCAAAATGTTCAGTGGTGAAAAGAAACAATTATGCATTTACAGAGCCTACCCGACCCCCCCCCCCCACCCCAAACCCACTTGAAGGATTTCTGTAGTGATGAAAACATTCAAAGGTGTATTGATCACAGAGGAGGGCTGCATTCAAGAGAACAATTATTTGGCTTGTAACAGCCTAGAGGAGGCTGAATACTTCAGGGAGGAAAGTGGTTGAAAGGCTAAGAAAATGCAAACTAGCAAAGGGGTGGCTATTTGCTGCAGAGTTTAAGATAATCAATGCTGGAGCAGAAAAGAGGGAAAAGAAAGTTAAGCTGTTTTATCTTTCCAAGTATTACAAAGTGGGCACCATAATCACCTAACTCTAGCAACAGCACCACCAGCTTCAGCCAAGGATTTGAAGGACAACAATTTCAGAAAACCATCTTTTTCACAGATCAGCAACCCATCCTTTCAAAGGGAACTCATACATGCACATACATGCACGCACACACACACACACACACACACACACAATAACTTGTATTTGACTAAAGGAAACTGCACTGTCTATGCATTTAAAGGGCAAAAAAAAAAAAAAAAAAATTCATTTACAAAAGCAAAGACCAGAATGCAAAATTAGTCATTTTGAATAGCCACATCTAAAGGGACTTCCTTTTTTCTACACCACTGATCTCTTTTTTTTTTTTTCTTTTTTTGCTTTTTTGGTTTAGTGTTAAGTACTAGTATGTTGTTAGGTGGGGGGAAAAATATGAATATTACATCAAAAGTGGTGGTGAGAAAAGATTTGTACCTGTCTGAATGTCCCACAGATCTCGGTCAATTTAGGTTAAGAACTGTTCAGTCATTTGGAGGAAAAAAAAAAACAGTCAAATAATAACTGTTAAGAAAAAGAGGCTACACATCTGGAGAAAAGACGTTGAACTCTTGTCATTAACACATTAAAGTCTTACAAAATACACAGCATTTTTCCCTCCATATCTGCTAGCTTCCAGCAACCCCGATTATTTAAATCCAAAACAATGGAACAAGCAGTCCTTGTTTCAAACTGACATTACTTTTTTTTTTTTAGGTCGGCTGGGGGCCCGCTAAGGGAAAGAGTAAAATTAGCTAAAAATCAAACAACAGCCTCTCACCCCAACTGGAAAATACACCACCGACTAGTTGTATATACTGTATGCTCCCCACCACCATCCCCTCTTGCACTCACGGGTTCGCCTAAGTCACTTGCCCCTGGATTTCACACACTGATACATTTCAGGCAATTAAAGAAGAAATAACCAGCGCCTGCACAGACAACCAAGACCATCCCATCCCGCCCAGAAAGAATAAAAGATTTCTCCCCCAATGCCTGAGCAAGAAAACCTCTGCTTACTTAACCTGCATGCACTGGAAAAGAGCAATTAAAAGTTGCAGATGAACTGCACCTCCAGGATGTTTTAAGCCTTCTGATTATTAATTCTGAAGACTCAAGGCTGGTCCGTAATTCCCAGGAATCCCATCCCCTCCACACTTCCAGGAGAGAGAGAGAAAAGAGAAAAATAGCTAGTTTGGATAGAAAACTGCCTGGAAACACAATGCCCAGATATTTCTTTTCCCCAAGTGCCCTTACTATTTGACTTTTAACCAAGAATATCTAACCCCTCTAAGAATATATAACCAGCATGCACAAGACTCTGGGTCTACAGCTGAGGACCATCACACAGCAATTCAAGAATCATGCAATCATTAGAAAGGACTTTTCCTTCAGCTTTTTACTTTCATTCAAAATACCAAACTGGTCCAGGCTGTAAGAAATATTTCATCCCCAAGACACAAACATCTTTCCTCTTCCAGATCACAAAAGAGGGAATATCAAAATTCAAACACCATGCTTCCCTAAATCTGCAATTAATTTCTTTAAAAATGGGGGGGCGGGGGAGGGAGGGAATGGTTAGCAGCTTTATATAAGCACTCACCTAAAACAGGCAGAGTCATCGGGAGCTAAGCTATTTATGCAGGATTCTTAAAATGGCGTCTGGCAACACTGCCTCATTCCTGTATTGAAGCTAAAATGGTAGCAGTTTGTTCAATAGCTGTAGCTCTGGCTTAAGCAGCCTTGCTAGTTTCAAAGCCACCTTCCTAAGTATCAGAACTAGGAAAAAGCTCAACCAAAGGACACCAACAACCCAACGTTTAGACGCTTAAAAAAAAATCTGCAGTGACAGGGGGAGTTTGTGAAGTCACAGGTTCCTAAGGAAAACCCTTCTCTTTCAGATCCTGAGCCTTCAACGTGAGGCTCTACAGTGAGGCCCCCTTACCCTCAAATTAGGTGGGTGGAAGGTTAGGACTCGGGCAGCCCTGTGGCATAAAGTGCAGACAGACAGGTGTCTGTGCAGACAACAAAAATCCTAAAAGGGCGCAGGCTGGGGAGGGGGAAGAAAGCCCATTCCCCCTTGCTGGTAGATTAGAAGCCAGCCTTGCATCCCTACCAAAGAGGAGCTGGGGAAAATGGAAAGTGCTTCCAGGGCATCAGGCATCTGAAGGGCTGCACCCCAGTCTGAGGCCAAAGGAAAATAAAAAGGCTGTTTAATAAGCCTGGAAACGGGCCCCCAACACCCAGCCAGTCCTAAGACAGTTAACATCAAGGAAAGACAATCCGAGTCTGCAGAGGAGACAACAGGAAAACCTCCCCCTTAGCCAAGGCGCAGAAGAATACTCACAAATTAATTTTTGTCCACCCCCAACAGAGCCCTCAAAATTAACCATGGGTTTGGCAAAACCTGCTTTCACAGGCCGAGCTAAGAGCCTCATAGTGGATAATGTAATTTACGGTTACAGGTCTGAGCATGGCCTCAGAGTTTTCAAGGTGACTGTTTTGGAGCTTCAGGAGAGAAAGGAGGGCAGAGTGCCCAACGCCGTGCCAGAGTGAGGACGGGCAGCTGGCTCCTGGCCGGCCGGTAGGTAGGTAATCTTGATGAGGAGGGACAGGCTGGCAGCCCAGTTCGCCGCACCGCTGAAATGGCTCCTGCCTGCTTGTTTATCAGTAAGCAGAGTGGGGTGGAGGGGGAAGGGCAGCCATAGCCTTAGCAACCTGAAGCCAAGAGTGAATCCTTACTTGTTTCTGCCTTTGCAGGCAAGGCAAG